TTCTAAAGAAGTGGCCAACCCATGTTTCTAGAATTCCAGTAGCCATCAGACAGGTGACACAGAGTAGCACTAGCCCGTCACAAACTAGTCCTATCTTGAGCAAGGATCATACCATGCCTGGAAATAGAAGACGACGTAAAAGGCTTCAGAACAAGGCAGCCACAAGCAGTTCGCCACAATCCGTAGCACCTTATTCATGCAAGGAATGCTGTATTACGACACCCGATGGCTGCAGTGTTTGCACCAAAGTTGTTTCGGTAGTCGATGAGGCATTTGCATGCAACCTATGTCAACGATGGGCGCATTGCCACTGCGACACCAAAGTCCCCCGACAATACTATAAGCTGATGAAGAGACAACCATGCAAGTGGTTCTGGTACATCTGTCCAGAGTGCAGGAAAATGCCCGCACTCCGCACAGAAAGCCTGAAGGAGATGCTCTCCGCCACGCAAAAGCTACCAGCACCCTCGAATAAAGTAGGGTTAACACCAAAGATAACACAGAGAGACCTGGAAACAGACCTAGAGCTCCAGCTGTGGGCACGCCACCTCGCGTGGGGACCATATTAGGTCAAGTCTCCATACCTCCTACCCGGCCCCAGGGGACGTCAAGCGTATGGCCAAAGACATCGACCGCTAAAGCCTCTACGAAACCCATTCCAAACACCCCACACACCGTGACTGAGAAACAACCAGTGGAATTACTCAAACCCATTGGGAAGTCGGGCGTGCCACCCACAACGAACCCAGGTCACAGGAGGACCAACTCGATCATTTTGTTCAACGTCGATGTATCGACAGACTCATTGTTGGTCGAGAGGGAACGGTTTGACAGCCGAATGTGGACCGACTACTGTCAGATGCTGGGACTCCCTCCCCTCCCTGCAACTTTATGTCGCCTTTCTCGAGGAAGCCGTGCACCCCGAGATAAGCCACCCCCTTTACGTGTGTCCCTAAATACCGCCAAAGAGGCTGAAGACACACTCCTCCTCTCGCGACAACCGGACGTTGTTAATGCCTGTAAAATTCGGGCCAGGCCTGACAAGCCATGGTCAATAAGAGAGGAGGAGAGAAAGTCAGCGGTTGGAAATCCCAACAGAAACAACACTATAGTTGTACATGGGATTCCAGAATTGCCAAGTGACCGCTCGGTCAAAGATCGGTACTTTCACGACGTCCAACAATGGCAATGGCTCTCAACCAAAGTTGGTCTCAACAGTATACCGGCCAACAGCGTCAGTAGACTGCCAAGGCCAGCGCACCTGAAGACCATACCCAATCCCAGACTACTCGCCGTCCAGTTCGACTCATATGCCTCCCTCACAGACGTTCTACAGGCATGGTATAATGCGAAGGATCGCATGGGTGGCTCAATACGTATATGTGAAAGTAAGCCTAGACCCACAAGGCAAGAGGAGAGACGACAACCACCAAGACCTCTGGAGTCAGTGGTCGTCACACAGGCGCTGACCAGTGAGTTAGATACATCAAGTAAAGAAGCCACCACTGCCACAGCCCCCACCCAAGTTAATAACAAAACACCAAAAAACGGAACAATGCCAGTCCTATGAGGACTGGCGAGGGTAGACCCAACCACATAAGCTCTCATCCTGCGAAAATACACAACCAGACCTCCCCCTCACCAGGCACACTCTAATATGTATGTACAGCAACGTTAGGGGGCTAAGAGGGAAGGTAGCAGAAATGAGGACGCTGCGTGCACATCAGCACTCCGACATCATATTCATCACCGAATCCTGGCTCTCGCCAGACATCTCCGACGAAGAGATGCATGTTACTGGCATGGAACTCTTCCGCAGGGACAGGGAACATAGAGCAGGAGGGGAGTGGCTATCTACGTAAACTCTGTTTAAAGGCAAGGATGGTTAGCGATACGGCCTTAACCCAGCTCCCAGAGTCCCTATGGTGCTACTTCACTCTCCACAGTACCAAATACCTGCTCGGAGTCATATATCGGTCCCCCACCAGCTCCCCTACACATAAGGAAATGATCATCAAGGCTATCTTAACGACTTCCTCTGCAAATTACGATTCCGTAGTCATTGCCGGCGACTTCAACACCCCGTCCATCCTCTTCGAGACGGAAGGGAGACGCATCAGATCCTTCAATCAGAAGCTGAAGGATGCAATTAAGACTGCTGGCCTCTCAGAGAAAGTGGGTGATGCTACACGCTGGGGACCTAACGGAAACGCATCGCGCCTTGACTACGTTCTGACGAACGATGAACTTCTCATTGAGGATGTTTGCATCCAACCTCCCCTTGGCCTCAGTGACCACGCTGTAATCACCTTCTCCATGATAACTAGGGAGGCTCTGCAACTGGAGACGCCCAACACCTTCCCTTGCTACAGCAAGGCCAACTATGAGACCATGAGGGACTACCTCATGAATGCATCATGGCCAGTGGACTGGACTCATCTCACAATAGATGAACACTGGTTGGAGGTGAAGAAAATAATCACTGGGGCCATCAGTCACAGTGTACCAGAAGTAACACACAGACAATCAATGAGAACCTCATGGTTAAAGCGTGGGACAGAGAGGCTTATCCGGAGCAAGAAGCAGGCTTGGTTCAAGTGGCGCACATCACGCAGGGAGTCTGACTTCTTGAACTACAAAAGGATTCGCAATCTCTGTAACATTAGAGTGCGTAACGACAGATTTTCCTACCAAACAAACTTGGCAGCGAGGTTACAAAGCAACCCCAAAAACCTGTACCGCTTCATGTCAAGAAGAAAGTCGACCAGTAAGGGAGTGAATCTTGTCACAGGCCATGACGGGAGTGTGCTAAGCAGTCTAGAGATTGCCGAGCTTTTGAGCTCACACTTCCAAGCCCAACTCAGCACTGACACAAGATCCACACCGACCAGGTCGCAAATAACGAATACCTCTGTCACGTCTCTATTACAGAGAAAAAGGTGTTCGAGAAGCTATCTAGGCTACGTCCGGGCAAGTCCCCTGGCTGCGATAACCTGAAACCAGTGGTTCTGAAAAACTGCGCCGAGGTGCTTACCAAACCACTTCGCAACCTCTTTGAGCACTCAATAGACTCGTGCAAACTCCCTAAAGAATGGAAGAGTGCCATCTTGTCACCCATCTTCAAGGGAGGAGACAGAAAAAGCCCTGGCAGCTACAGGCCGATTGCCCTACTCCCTATTGTGTCGAAAGTGTTGGAAAGCCTGGTAGCTGACACCATCTGGGAATTCCTCAATAGGAAAACACTGTCCACACTGCTCAGCACGGCTTTCGTAGTGGTCGCTCATGTGCCACCAACTTACTAACCGCCTGGGACGACTGGACACAAAGCTGGGATAATAGAAAACCTGTACATGTTGTATTTCTCGACCTAGCCAAAGCATTTGACAGTGTCCCACCCACAGTACTGCTTCACAAGATCATGTCAGCTGGTATAAGTGGACCCCTACTCTCTTGGTTCAAGGAGTACCTGGAAGGGAGGCAGTTCTGCACTAAAGTGAACAGAATAAGGTCGGAGTGGAGACCGTCGACGTCAGGAGTATCCCAAGGAGCAATCCTAGGACCGCTTCTGTTCCTCCTGTTTGTCAACGATCTGCCAGACAAAATATCCTCACCCATCCTCCTCTTCGCTGACGACATAAAAATTTGGAGGGTGGTAAACGAAGAAGCCGATTGTGCAGCACTACAAAAGGACTTGCAGCAACTCGAGCTCTGGTCGTCGGAAAATGGCCTGAGCTTCAACCTGGAAAAGTGCAAAGTAATGCACATCAGTAAAAATGAGGCAAGTACGACCGACTTCCAGTACATGTTGAGCAACCGTGCTATCACCAGAGTGTCCATGGAGAAAGATTTGGGGCTCAACTTCTCCGACACCTTGGACACCAGCTCCAACTACAAAGGTATGACAACCAGAGCGAACGCCATTCTACACTTTCTGCGTAGACAGCTTGGCGCCCTCACTCCCGAACTCTTCCTCACCATTTTCAAATCCTACGTGCGGCCGCACCTAGAGGTCTTCAATACGGTGGCTCCTCCAACACTCAAGAGAGACTCTAATCTCCTTGAAAGAATACAAAGAACTGCAACAAAATCAGTTGTGGGGCTAAGGGGAAAGACGTATCCTGAAAGACTTAAACACCTCAACCTATTTACCTTGGGTTATCGCAGGAAAAGGGGTGACCTCATTATGGCATACAAGATCGCCCATCAGGCAGACCATGCAAACAAATCAATTTTGCCTGCAACTGAACGATCTTCACGAGGAAACCCCATTAAGATAGCACACCAGAGAGCCAACACCACACTCAGGTCCAAATTTTTCTCCCTAAGAGTATGTGCTTTATGGAATGCCTTACCGCGACACATCGTTATAGCTCCTTCAATCGACTCTTTCAAGAGGCGATTAGACAGTTATGTCACCTCGCATGGACTACCACGGACGTACTCAGGTAGTCACCAACCTCAGTACCCCCAACTCCCTCCTAACTACCACTCACTATCTCTCTCCTTAATACACCCACATTACCTACTAATTCTTCTGTAGGAACCAAACCCACGCGACCATTCGGGCAATTCCCAAATACTTTTCTTTCGTTCTCATTTCTCTTTTCACCCCTCCTTTTCTTCTCCTTCCCTTTTCTCTTCCCTATATTATTATTATTTTGTCCTCTTTTTTTCATTTTTTCTTTTCTTTCTTATTCTCTCTTCATTCCTTTACCACTACCTTACTATTCTCTTTCAGGTACCTACACAGACAGGAGTCACGGCAGTTCTCTAAACTTCCCAGCAACCCGTAGCTCCCCAATCACTCTACAAATTACAACCTACTAACCCACAAAACATCCACCTCACGGAAGCTAAAAGCAAGAAAGCAGAGGGGATTTCCTCGTCCACTGCAGGAGTGAACCGAACAACTCGAACCGAACCCTAAGAACTAGACGCGAGAGATCGAAAACTACCAGTTTTCTACGCTCGCACTATCAATATTGGATATTGGATTGGATTATCTAGGTCACGGAAGTTTGCGGTGTTTTGGATGGTAGTTATGTAAACATAAAATTCCGGAACAAAGCCAATCCACTTGCACGCGAAGTTTACCCACAAAATTACACACTTTTAGTTTTTAAAGGTGGGTTTCCGTATGTGCAGCGGGAGAGTTCGTTTTTTGCAGTAATTTAATCTCTGAAAATGAGCAAAAATTCGGAAGTAAAGAGGCCTCATCCGCATCCGGATGAATGGTGAAATATCAGGGCAATCCATTATGAAGGATATTTCAAATTAAACGTTAAGAGTTAGATACTTAATATTTTGGAAGCTTCAATGCATATAGGATACTACAAGCACTTCAAATGTGCATATAATTTCAACAACTTCAGTAACTCATGTACATATAAGGTATACTCTGTATATGCGGTAAATAAGGTGGAAATGAAGCGCGAAAGGAAGCGAAAAGCGTCGGGAATTATAACCAATTATTTTCTAGGAAATAGACCTGTGCTATCTATTCGTACTATCCGAGTGATTCCCATATACTTCTCTCGCTCTTTTATTTCTCATCTCTACCCCCCCTCCGCTTTTTTCTTGTTTTTCTCTCTTTTCAATTCTTTTTTCTTCGGTTTTTTCATTTTTTATCACTGCCCTGCTATTCTCTTTCAGGTACCTACACAGACGGGGGTCACAACAGTCCCCTAAACTTCCCAGCGACCCGTAGCTCCCCAACCACTCTACAAATTACAGCTTACTAACCCATGAAACATACACCTCACAGAAGCTAAAAGCAAGAAAGCAGAGGAGATTTCCTCGTCCTCTGCAGGAGTGAACCGAACAACTCGAGTCAGGCCCTAAGAACTAGGCGTTAAAGACCAAAATCTATCGGTTTTCTACGCTTGCACTATCAATATTGGGTTGGTGTATTGGATATTGGAACCACTTTCGCTTTCCCCCCTTGAAGTCACTTTCCTCAATCAGCCAACTTGCATACTTTAACCCTCGAAAATACTTTTTTTCTCACTTGTCTACTTTTCCTCCATGAAATCGCTTTCTTCCTCCTATCAAGACATTTTTAATAAAGCTTTTTCATCACTGTCCACTTTTTCCCTTCATTTCCTCTCTAATTTCCCTCCTCCCTCTTTGTTTTCTTTTTAACAGACTGAGCATTGAAGCTTCCAAAATATTAAGTTTATAACTCCTAATTGATGAGTTAATGGTTTCTTAAACGTTTTGATTAAAGTACCCATCCCAACAGATTGCCCAGTTATTTCCCGACTCATCCCCCTTATATCCTCATTTTTGTTAATTTGGGTACTTTGAATTGAAAACATTATCTTCCCTCCCGTTTTCGTTGCACATAAAGAGCTTCTTCTGTCCGTTTGTCCATCATCTAGCTTATATTCATTTGTATAACTTAAGGATACGGTAGAGATAGATTTTTAAAGACTTTGGCGTTCGAACACAAGTATTGTTGCTGTATTTAGATTCAAATCTTGTAAAAGTATGCCTTCTAATGAAGGCGTTTTAGGATTCGTCCTGGTGGGAACTTGACAGACGCAAAGACCAATCACTAATTATTCGGACTTGTTACATACCCACGAATACGAGACCAAGGAAGAACACGATAGCGTAGTCGGATGGAATAGTATATTTGGATAGTTGTGCCAAAATACCGATGCGTTCCAACTAACTGGCTAGAGAGTCGAATACGAGCAATGCAACGTAACACGACAGCGTGCCAAATGGCGAGGATGCTTGACCGGGTGCCTTCAGCTTAGCGAGTCCAGTTAAACTATGAAGGTCAGCATCAATGTCAAAAGTCGTCAAACCCTAAGCTATTGATTTTGGGGAAGTGTGTGACGCTACAGCGTTACGGTTTGAAAGTCATAAGAACTTTTTTGCTCAAAAGTTTGAAGAATAACCCAAGTTTTCATATTGTCTGTCAGATTGTCCGGAGTGTGCCCGAAGTTTATGAAATAATCAACGTAAATTCCGAAAACGCATTGCACGTGGCACGAATTTCCATCTTTCAATACTTAGTAGTGGAATACGAAATCTGTAGCAGTTTAATGGCATCCTGGAGACTGTGGTATCATGAAATATGCTTAGTTTTGCCGACGCATCCAAGGGTTTTGATGTTCTCCCGAACTTGTTTTCAGAAGTTGCTGAAAAATCTCAAAATTCACCCAAATTGTTTGCCAGATGTTCAATGATTTCCCTTGGGGTAGCATAGCTTCCTGACTTGTCCAATGCACAAACTACGGAAAGAAATAACCCACTGAGAATCATATGCCTAATAATTGAACACAAAGCGGAAAAGACTTGAGTGGTCACTAGGTAAACAGAACTCAGTCTAAATAAATGAACACAAGAGTTCAAAACTGTCGTTTTTTCCATATTTGCTTGAAATGTACGTAGCATTAAAAATGTTTCTTCTTTTACTGCAGTACAGACCACTCAAAAACTTGATTTAATAGTCTAGAAACGCCAGTTTTCTTATAACTCATAGAATTCTATGAAGACTTAAAATGTAAAGTAATGAATGTATTTCGATCGAGTATTTGATGATAGGTTTAAAAAGAATTTCTCTGAGTTTTACTACTATAACATCCAATCAAGTCAATGTTTCTGATGTACCATGTAGAGGAAATGTCAGTTCATCTCTTTGATGAAAGTCCGAGGCTGATGGGAAGGACGTTCAGAGTTTTGGAGCAATAGTGTTATGTCAGTTGCTTGCGTTCCTGTCTTTTCATCATGTCAATCTGTCATCACTCTTCACTAGCTTGACCTGCAAAGGTAACCTTCCACTTTGCATCATATACCCCAATAAGTCCTCATGATGTTACTGACTAGATACACATTCTCTTGAGAGAATACTCTATTACTGCAGCAATTACTGTTCAAAGTGGTCGTCATCAGTGGTGACACGGAAATATAGAATGGTTGCTCAGGCGATCAGAACAGGTAAAGATCGCGTTATATCTTCACAAACCCTTCAGGAAAGTTTTTTTTATCGTAATTATTTTTGTAAACCACTAAGTGGATGACCAAAAAATGCTGAGGCATTTGCATCTATAGAATTACAATAACCTTGCTTCCGGTTCAGATTCTTGTAGACTTCAAGTGGTACAAAGGTTTATCATCGACAAAAATTTATCACAACTAGTTACACTTGTATCAAAGCTTATTCATGTGTTTTACTACAAGTTTTGTGCTGTTTTTTGTCAGACAGAAGTTATTGTGATGATAAATCTTAAATACCTGACATTAGCATCGTAGTTATTTTGCTCAACCAATCAAAAGTTTATCATTTACTTGTACATATTCGTTGAGAATTTTCCTGGGGTTTGGTGTCCCATAGTTTATATCATTTGCTTAGAATCGAGATATAGCAAATACTTTATCTACTTTTGTATTTGATTCATGCGAATAACTGCTCGCTGCCCATTCACCTGACCATCTAAAGTGAGGTGAACCGTTAATTTATGGAGCTGTTTAATTAGTTTAAAATGAACGCTTTCATGTACATATCTTTATGATAAATAGAAGTATGAGGAGGCTGAATATATTAGAGCTTCGTATGCGAAATAATCAAAAATCATTAGAAAAGATGTTTAATAATTCCAAAAATAAATTTTTACAGATAAGTTAACTACATGAGGGATTTTTATGGAAATGTTAGCAACTACTAGAATACTTATAGGTTTATAAACACTTATATTTTTTAGACCAACAGTATATTTACTTGTTATTAAATCAGTGTTAGTATTTAAGGAACTATAGACTGCTAAGAAAATGTGGACTTTGAGAACGTGTTACCTAATTTCAACACAGCAAAGAACACTACTTAACGGGCTAAAAACGTGTGCCGTTTATGTTTCATCTTTATAGATTTAAAACCTTTCCCTTGACATAAATGATTCAAAACACTTCTAGCACAATCCTATAGAGTTCTGTGCAGTCTACTGAAATCATCTTTTGATTAGTCTCATGTCTTTTTCTTCAGATCTATAGATCTTAGTCAGATGCTGTTTATGGACATTCTTGATCATTGTTTTAGTTCCATTATTAAAACACATTTTATGGTTGGACAAAATACCTGAAGTTCCTATAAGTTAAAAAATACAATTACTGGAAGCTATTTAATTTGCAATTACACCTATCCAACATAGCTTATACCACGATTGAACATATATATGTATGACTATAGTGTAAGATAAAATCAATATATTCCAGACTATAACAGTAGACTGCCAAGGCCAGCGCATCTGAAGACCATACCCAATCCCAGACTACTCGCCGTCCAGTTCGACTCATATGCCTCCCTCACAGACGTTCTACAGGCATGGTATAATGCGAAGGATCGCATGGGTGGCTCAATACGTATATGTGAAAGTAAGCCTAGACCCACAAGGCAAGAGGAGAGACGACAACCACCAAGACCTCTGGAGTCAGTGGTCGTCACACAGGCGCTGACCAGTGAGTTAGATACATCAAGTAAAGAAGCCACCACTGCCACAGCCCCCACCCAAGTTAATAACAAAACACCAAAAAACGGAACAATGCCAGTCCTATGAGGACTGGCGAGGGTAGACCCAACCACATAAGCTCTCATCCTGCGAAAATACACAACCAGACCTCCCCCCTCACCAGGCACACTCTAATATGTATGTACAGCAACGTTAGGGGGCTAAGAGGGAAGGTAGCAGAAATGAGGACGCTGCGTGCACATCAGCACTCCGACATCATATTCATCACCGAATCCTGGCTCTCGCCAGACATCTCCGACGAAGAGATGCATGTTACTGGCATGGAACTCTTCCGCAGGGACAGGGAACATAGAGCAGGAGGGGGAGTGGCTATCTACGTAAACTCTTGTTTAAAGGCAAGGATGGTTAGCGATACGGCCTTAACCCAGGTCCCAGAGTCCCTATGGTGCTACTTCACTCTCCACAGTACCAAATACCTGCTCGGAGTCATATATCGGTCCCCCACCAGCTCCCCTACACATAAGGAAATGATCATCAAGGCTATCTTAACGACTTCCTCTGCAAATTACGATTCCGTAGTCATTGCCGGCGACTTCAACACCCCGTCCATCCTCTTCGAGACGGAAGGGAGACGCATCAGATCCTTCAA